AATTTCATCTTTAAGTTTAATCATATTATATAGGGAAAATTAGTAAATCTCAAATAATTTTTCCAGAAATGCGATTAGAACTACCTACTGCATATTTTCTAATTGATAATTGATCAAGAAATACATTTTAGGAATAAAAATCATAGGTATCCAGGCTTTTAAGGAAAATTGCATGATTTTTTTCTTACTTCTTCGGTACTTTACTTTCTCTTACTTACTTCCATCGCTTCATAATGCATAGTGTATGAAATGCTTCCTTTCAAAGAAAACACCGTAAATCACTTCTAATTTCAAATCATGCTTATAAACATTGGTAACTAAGGCTAAATTAAAAGAACTTTGATTTTTATCTTAATATGCAAGTTTTACTTAGTTTTATGAGGTTCAAATGTCAACTTCTTTAATACCGTTTGTTAAAACTTTAAAGAACATTGAATCATACGTAGAGGCATAAAATGAAAATTGTGGCATGAAAAAATTTCCATTTCAAGCTTTATTTTAAGACTTTTTGAATTAAATTATAAATTAAAGAGTTATCCTTTCTGGCTGAGGATCGGATATCCTTAACTAAAGTTTGAAACCCATAATGTTTTTTTTTTTCAAAACTCAACGGTATAAATTGAATGTGTTTATAACGTAGATCGCTTATGATGTACCAAAGTATTTTTTCTCCTCATTTTTTGCACTTGTTAAACTGATATACCAACCCAAACAGGCTATAATATCCCATTAGGCCAATAGGGTGAGTGGTCCCATGCAACCCCTTTATCACTGTTTATCCTGTGACATTATTGAAGCAAGAGACGAAATTTCAGGTTTTCTAGAAAGCCAAACTTTCATATTAAGAATGTTAACATTGTTATTAAAAAACTGCCGGCCTGAGTATATATCTCCGTTTACTTGGACGGTGTGTCATCGTTTTCATAAAAAGAACATCCTTAGGTTAGTTGTCAAAACAAGAGGGGAGGTGGAATGGCTGTTCTTGGCCAAATTTCCCCTTTGTAATACCTATTCTTACCCCCTGCCCCATAAGTCGTAATTTGACAAAAATTAAAACTACACTACCCCCAAGTCCTTTCACATTAGTTTCAGCTTCTCTGGCCAAGTAGTTCCTGAGAAGAAGATTTTTAAAATTTTACTACCGGTATATATTTGGATTACAGGTCGATGGGGTATATAGGTCGAAAGGCTCATTTTTAGCCTTAATTTTTGAAAAATCCTTAGATAGGACGAACTTACTATATAGGACGAGGCTTTTTTTATCTATTTTCGAAAGAATCTTACGCAGATACAACGTATCAGAACATGTAAACCTCTAAATTACCTGGGTAATTCCGTGACATGAACGTATCAAGAAAATAAAATGGTATTTTAACGAGTATAGCATTTAAATAAAGTTTTATCTAAATGTAGTTTAAACTTCTTTGAATTGTTTTTCTACTTATTTTTCTCCAACTTGCCTGTTCAATGCCTCCGTAGTTTCACACTGTTGTTAAACCGAGGGTATAAATAACACGTAAATACGTTATTATTTTACAGCTATAATTCGGGAAATACCTGAGTTCAAAGAATAATAATTCCGATTTCAGAACAACTTGGACACATTCCTTATACATTTCATTCAGGCATTATTTATCGGTGGACGACAATTACTTCGATGTCCGCCATTTTTATTTTTCTTCTCTACTAGGGATTTGCTAAAACACGCAAATGACCATTGACTGGCAACAATTTATTTCACTCATTTTACATTTAAATAAATATAAGACAGTCACAATAAAACAAAAAATATTTAAATATACTTATTCAATTTATTGCTAGTTATAAATGGTAAAAACACGTCAGTTGTGATCGTGAAAAATTTTCCGTATTTTAAATTTTGATACGGTTGCGGTTTAACTTTTAGTACACGATCGCGATTTCCTAACTTCACAAGATGGCTACCGCATGATGTTAATAGATAATACGTTGAGGAATTATTTACTAGATGCAGCAATGTTTTTTTCCTTTGTCATCAACGAATAATTAATGGAATTTATTTTGTAAGAAAGGTATAGAATAAATATTTGATTGTTTACCAGAGCATTATTTTTTTCTGCGTAAAATAATGAAAAAGGTTATGAAAGTGGCACAGATTTACTTTGAAATTGACGTAAATTTTATTGATTTTGGGGCATTTTTCGTAAACTTGAGCCTTAGAAAGGTCGAATTCGTATATTGGGCGACCCCAGCGGTTCTGAGAAAAAAAGTATCGACCTATTATCCGAAAATTACGGTATATATTTCAAAGTAAAACTTGGATTCCAAATTGTAGCTCTGCCCTGCCCCAAGTGGTCATGATTTGAACAATTTAGAATCAATACCCTAGGCTTAGGATGCTTCAACATAACATGCATAATTTTAATCTTTTCTGGCCCAATACCCTATTTCTGTCTTTTCTCGAGTATCTCCCCTTATGAAGGTACTTGGTCCCTTATTTAACAATTCAAACTCCCCTTTATCCAAGGATGCTTTGTATTAAGTTTGGCCCAGTGCTTCTTGAGAAGTCAAAAATGTGAAAAGTTTACAAACGCCAACGGACGGACACAGCTTGAGCTAGACGGATAGTCGGACGGACAAAATATTATCAAAAAAGCTCACTTCGGCTCAGCTGAGCTATATAAGAAAATGAAAAAAAAAAATCTCAATATCATATGTCATACCTGTGCTTCTCGGTTCTGTGCTTCTCCTTGTCGAGACGTTTACCCTTTCCCGAAAGAGTACTCGGTCTCCAATCGTTTGGAGACCGAGTGACTTTAATTCAGAATCCGTTAAAGCCTTGCAAGTTTCCAAATTGTCTATTTTTTGTCTTTTAAAGTTGTCATGCAGAGCTGTCATACCTAATTCGCTCAGGATGTCTTCAACAACCGTCCTCTCTCCCGCCATTTCAGCGGTTCTACTTGCCGAACGCGGGAAATCTGCATTCGTAACTACACTGTCATTTTCCGTTATTTATCGTTCATGGAAATAGCCGATTGAGGGTTTACGTAATGCTCAGATAAAGACCGAGGATACCCGTGTTCGCATAACGTAATAGTGAATCGACATAATGTAGAAGAGTGCGCACAGTATAACATGAGCTTTCCACATCTGATCAATATGAAATAGCCTAAGATACATGTATGCTGACAAGAGGCTGAGCATTTTTGACACAATGTAAAGACACAATGACATAACGTAATATCGATTTGTCAAAAAGTAAGGGCAAATTCACATCATGAAATTGATTCATGTCGTCATGTAGCATATTTATGACATAATGTAGTAAAGGAACTGACCACATGTGACAATTTTTTGACATCATGTAATGAAATTCTGATATCGTATTATAGCGATCTGATATCAAATTAAAATAAATTCACATCAGGGAATGAACTACTTACTCCAAATAGTAGAGAGTGCACATAATGTAATACTGAGTTGAAATTATATAAATGTATCTTAACACCACGTAAAAATCTTTTGACATAATGTCACAAAGAGCTCATATAATGCAATGAAAGATTGACGCAATATAATTGAAGTGTTAGTAAATGTCATAAAAAAGTTAACATAATGTATAAGAAAGTTGTCGCAATGTAATAGTAATGTGTGTAAATGTCATAAAGAGTTGAACTAATGTAAAGGAAAGTTGAGATAATGCAATAGTAGTGTTAATAAATGCCACAAAGAGATGACATTATGTAATGGAAGGTTGAGATAATGCAATAGTAGTGTGGGTTAATGTCATAAAGAGTTGACATATTGTAATGGAAAGTTGAGACAATGCAATAGTAGTGTGGGTTAATGTCATAAAGAGTTGACATAATGTAACAGAAGGTTGACACAATGCAATAGTAATGTGGGTTAATGTCATAAAGAGTTGACATAATGTAATGGAAGGTTGACGCAATGCAATAGTAATGTGGGTTAATGTCATAAAGAGTTGACATAATGTAATGGAAGGTTGACGCAATGCAATTGTTGTGTTCTGCTATAAGGCAGTGACGGCGTTCCATACATTTTCTTTAAAAATTTGCCTTTATTAGGCAAATAACTTGATTATTATACATTATAGTGTATGTGCGGTCATATTTGCGAATACATGAATATCATAACAAAGACATCAAAATTAAGTATAATTACTGACTTTAATTAAAAATTTCATTTTATATATTCTATTCAACACCATTTCAGAAAATTCAGTGTCCAGAAATCAACACAGATTTGAAAATTTACAATTTGTCAGCAAATTTTACAATAAATATGGCTCAACAGTTCTTCCATTTAGTTTCTATGCCAACCAGATGTGACACTGAAGGTGTTGCATGTTGACCAGCATTGGTAGCAAACAATGTTCTGAAAATATAAAAGTAGGGTGCAACAAAACATTTTTTCACAAAATTAATCTATTATCTAATTTATTTCATTATAAAATTGTATCCAATTAGTTTATTTCGTCAGCATTTGACACATTAAAAAAAAAAAAGACCACGTCGAGGAAATTCGAATTTTTCTCAGTTTAATACTGATCTTCAATGCATAAAATGCCATTATCATTAATATAAATATTAATTCGACTATAATTGGTTAATAAGGTGTAAAATATTATAAAGCAAACTTGCCATGGTCGTCGCCTGTCTCCCCCAATCATGACGCGTTTTCGTTTTCTACTGTATGTCGGCGCCCAGTCTCGCCGGGGAGGTCGTTTTCACTGGGCTGTCCGGGGCGCACTGCGTAATATTCCTGTTAAATGAATTCATATTATTATAGGAAAAATCCTGAATTTTTCAAATATGTATGAATCTTTTTCATTAAAATATTTCTTACCATCAGAAATACACGATTTGTACAAAAACGTGCCGGCTCTCCGCTTTGTTTACTATGGAATACGGGGATTCAGGTACCATTCGAAACTCCGATTTATAAGCTTTCTTCTCATTGGCTGATTTGATCAATATCTTCAACTATAGCTCGCGGAAAGCCAATGAAACAACGCGACTCATGCAAAACGGGAGGTAAACTAGCATCCGAGTTTAAATGGTATTGAAAGACGTTTTGGAGAGCTTACATAAACTACATGAAAAATAATGAAATATTTAATACGGAACAATATTTACACTGGTTAAAAGATTTAGTCCTATACAACATAGGTGTGAAAATTTTTTATCAGAATTCATTAAATTTTATCGCGAGTTGAAAATTGTCAATTTTATGCCGATTTTGCCGAAAATTACAACGTCACGCAAGGTAAACTGAACTCCCTACAGTCACTACCTTATTTTACGTCTTAGGTTTGACGCGGCGCCGGGATCGAGAATCGAACCAGGGCCTCCCGATCACGAAGCGAACGCTCTACCACTAGGCTACCGTGAACGGTGATGTCTAGAAGAAGAGAAGAAAATTGCATTAATGTTAGAGGTCTTGATCCCACCTCACAGACCTAAAGGGGACAGGGACCACGAAATTCACATTTTTTTGTGTTTCCCTTTACCCATAGATGCTTTGTTGCCAAAATTGGTTAAAATTGGTTGAGCGGTTGCAGAGAAGAAGCTGAAAATGTTCAAATTTTAACACGACGGACGAAAAACAGATAGCAATAGGTCACAGGTACTTGTGACAGGAACACCCCCACCCCATCCAAATATTCAACGCCGGGTCTTATTCATCATGTTAACAATAAGAAAATAAGAATAAGAAAAAATCGTTAAAAATCCAAAATACCCCACTATACATTACAGTAGGCCCATGGGCCTTATAGGTCACCTGATTGAATTTAGTTCATGTTTTAAGCTAGATGCCATGCCTGACCCAGGGGCCTTTTTTGGATTCATTTCTGTAGCGGACAGTATATAGGGAACTTATACTACCTCGCCAGTGAGCTAGCTTTTCTGGCGATGCGGTAGAGTCTCCCTCTTTTTCAGGCAAGTTAAGCAACGGCGAGCCTGTTGAACCTTTGGATGGGTGACCGCTTCACGTTACAAAATTGGTGGCAGCGTAGTGACTCTGGTTTCTGGTGTCCTGCTTCAGGAAGTCTTAGAGTTAGGACTTAGTGTCCATATACAGACTTCGTGTCTGTGGACTGCAGGGGTTGCGGTATCTGAAGTCAGGTTCCGATCTGCTTCAGGAAGCTCTAAGGCTAGGACTTTTGTGTCCAGGAACGACATTGGTTACCGTAGCTGAAGAGGCCCAGTCACTCAGAGAGAACTCATGCTAAGCTTCGGGTCGAAGCTTCCCTGAGCGGGGGGAAGTGTAGCGGACAGTATATAGGGAACTTATACTGCCTCGCCAGTGAGCTAGCTTTTCTGGTGATGCGGTAGTCTCCCTCTATTTCAGGCAAGTTAAGCAACGGCGAGCCTGTTTAACCCTTGGATGGGTGACCGCTTCACGTTACAATTTCCATGGAATTATGTGTGTAATGTGCAAACCGGAAGTGTGTCCGATGTACTTCCAGACTTTCTATGTAATGTGAGATTCACAATTCTGGAAGAAGGGCCCTTGCTCATCATAGCTATATAGGTAGTTCATGTCCCAATACCCGGGAGCAGAGAAGAAAATTTTAAAGTATTTTTACTATATACCCAAAAGAGCCCCACAAATCTTTACCCTTGGGCCATAAAATTCACAATTTTGGAGGAGGTATCCTTGCTCATCATAACTATGTACTTACAAGTAGCTAGTTTATTCAATATCTAGGAGCAGAGATGATTTTCAAAGATTTTATGCATTTCTCTTTGTAATCAATACAGCTCCGCCCTAAATCCAGAACGCTGGAGCCATAAAATTCACAATTTTAGAAGAGGCACTCTTGCTTATCATAACTATGTACTCAGTTTATTTAGTACCCAGGAGGAGAGAAGAAGATTTTCAAAGACTTAATGTATTTTCACTAGAACCCTACTCTTACACCAGAGCCCCTGACCCTGGGACCTTAAAATTCACTATTTTGGAAGAGGCACTCTTGCTCATCATAACTATTACTTAGTTGATTCATTTTGTACTAGTGGGGGTACAACGTAAACAAACCAGAATGGCATACCATGTATAGTGTGTGTGTGTGTGTGTGTGTGTGTGTGTGTGTGTGTGTGAAGCTATTATTTTTACGGATTTTTAAAAAAAATTCTATTGTACACATGATGAATACGTGTAATAAATTTGTGAAAAAATGTCCAACAACCACCAGGGTTGTATTTGAGGGTGGGGTGGGTCCTATCCACAAGTTCCTGTGCAATAAAAAGACGTTAATAGTAATCTAACAACCAAGCTCTATGATAAACGTGATGACTTTAACTTTTCTATCGTCAACTTTCCTTAATTATGCAGCAATATACCTTTATTACCTGCATACGGCGTTTATATATCTCAGTTGATTCGATAGGCAAGAGCATGCTCTATGTATGAACATTTTCTAAAACGAGATAAATTATTGACAAACAAGTTGATGAAACAAGAATTTCAGCAGTCTTGTTTAAAGTCATCAATTTCGTAAATTCTATGCACGACCTTGTCAGCAAATACAATTTATCGTTTAGTCAAATGCTAACTGACGTTTTGCATATTGATTGTTAGTCCTTTATTTATACACTGAATTGACGACGGATTTTTCCATTATTTCCTGATCATGACATGGAGCGCGGGGCGAATGTGGCCGGTCTGCGGGTGATACTCGCACCTTCATGCACCTGATCCCACCTCTGATGTTTTGGTGCTCCCATTTTGATTTTTTTTTTACTTTTGATCTTCAATACTGTTCGTTATCTCCATGTTTCATTATAATAGAAAAACTATGCATTGTGACGTCACGTTATATACCCCTGGTTCAAGTCGGGCGCACGGAAATTAACAACCAACTTTGTAGCCAATCAAAGCTCGTGTAAAAAGCTACACAGGAATTAAGTTTTCACATTCCGCAAACAGATTTGAATCGCGACGTAAGAGTCGATTCCTTTCTGAAGAACTCTAGAGCACAGCCTCTAACCAATGTGCCACAAGGATGTGTACTACATGAATGTACAGCTACATGTACCTAGAACTTAAATATTTTCCATAGAATTGATTATGGATTCAACATCACTCTTTTATGAACAGAATACTTTTTCTTTTACAAAATATATGAAATATTTTGACTTGTTTTGAGGTTTTTATGCTTGATATCAGTTTATTTGTTTAGAGGTTAATAATATAATACTACTAGATAAACACCCGCGTAAGCCGGGAAATTGAATTGATATATAGTTACCATTTACAACAGAAAATCAAATAAATTAAATTGCAGGTTTTGCTGACAGGCTATAGAAATACTTTGTTCAAAATCCCGCATGAAGTAGATGTACGTCACTATTCCAACCCACTTTTTGTGAAAAATTGAAAAACAAAAATGTCTTTATTTGACAAATTGTGAAACCTCATTAAATGTTATGGATATTGCACTTCAGATGTTCTTATTTCATTTTTATGATGGATAAGAGCACCGAATGTACAAAATTTACAAATAAATTGATTTTTTGGGGGTGGGGAGGGAGTAAAAATACACAGGTACTTGGGTCTTGGTTTATAATTATATATGTACCCTTATCGATAAGTTAAAAGGTTTTTTCTTTACATATCAATAAGGTACATACATGTTCATATTTATAAACCAAAACCCAAGTACCCGTGTAAAAATTAGTTTTTACCACCCCCCCCCCCCCCCCCCCCCCCCCCCCGTGAATTGGCCGAGTAATTGATACAAAAGACTTTTTTTTTTACAGAAAAAAAATGAAATGTCTTTATTTTTTGAAACACAAAACTTTACAGCTTTAATTGTATTGGAACAATACCTTATTCGTAAGTTTTCTCTTTTATTACAAAGTACAAATTGTACGTTGGGTTCGTTGCCACGATGCTCTCAGTAAGGAAAATACAATTTTTACCGATAAACTCAAAATAAACAAGAGATGTTTGTAAAACACTTATGCCCCCCTCCCCCAAATTGGAATTTTTCCAAATCCATGGGGCATAACTCTATCAAAAATGACGCGATCATACTCTAAACAGAACTTGAGCTAGATATTCAGCTGATAAATCTGTATGTGTATGTGTGTATACTAAATTTCAATTCAATATGTGCAAACTCTGCAAAGAAAATGGACGGAAACTGCAAATAAGTGGAATTTTTCTAAGTTGAAGGGGCATAACTCTATCAAAAATGGTGCAATCATACCCAAAACAGAATTTGATAAGACATTCAGCGAATAGATCTGTATACTAAATTTCATTTCAATATGTGCAACCTCTGCAAAGAAAATGGACGGAAACTGCAAATAAGTGAAATTTTTCTAAGCCGAAAGGGCATAACTCTAACAAAAATAGTCCGACCGTACCCAAAATAAAACTTGCCCTAGTTATTAAGCTGGTAAATTTGTATAGCAAATTTCATTTCAGTATGTGCAATCTCTGCAAAGAAAATGAACGGAAACTGCAAATAAGTGGAATTTTTCTAAGTCCAAGGGGCATAACTCTGACAAAAATGGTGCGATCATACCCAAAGCAGAACTTGACCTAGATATTTACATGTACCTGATTAATCTGTATACCGAATTTCATTTCAGTACGTGCAACGTTTGTGAAGAAAATGAACGGAGACTATATAGTCCAACAGACCGACAGCAGCAAAGCAATATCCCCCCCCCCCTTCTTCGAAGGAGGGCATACAAACATACATGTACTATTATAGCCTTTCGATAAATAGATCTATGTATTTCCTGTACTTATAATATTTACACTTGTCGTTAACTCGTCATCAACTTTTAACATTCCTCGCTGTCAAAATGCCTTGTAGTTAAATTGGACACTTATGATATGCAATGATGATTTGCCACTATGATCTGTTTATTTATATAATTCACGTATTAATAAATATTAGTGGCTTTCCCGGCAACAGTATGTTTCCAATAATTTCCAGGCATACTTTGCTCGTTTTTACCAAACTATTGTTTTTATTGTATTTTAATTTATATAACATCATTTGTTGTAAAACTATTTAATCAAATAAACCGTTGATTAAATTATTATACCCCCCGCTTGAAAAGCGGGAGGGTATATAGTAATCAGTATGTCCGTCCGTCTGTCTGTTACGCTTTGGGATACCCATCTCTTATCCGCAACTCCTCTCATACCACTGAATGAAATTTGATGAAACTTTCACAGAATCTTTATTACATATTGCCATTGTGCACCTCCTATTTTTCTTTTTGATCCGACACATATTTTGGGTTTCCCGGCCAC